TGTAGGTAATTAGGTACCATTTGGCAAGTCTTTTTTGAAAAGTCTTCTAGAAGATCTGATAGCCAAAAGATGATGAGGRCTTTTGCATATAAAGATTTTGGCAGCCCACAAATCATTTGATGGAGGCACATCTTTTTGTGTACCTTCTCACACTAAGATGAGGTAAAAAAAAAAAAAGCCTAAAACAGGCTTCCTGCTTTGTTTTTTATTTATTTTTTTTTTTGTGGCTGTATCTTTCGGCCATGGTTTTTAAAAACGAACTAGTGACCGAACTGGTCAGGGGTCTAGTTACCGGTTTGAATGGTCTGACCGTTTGACCCGAACAGTCGGCCCGTTTTGACAAAATAAAAAAAAATAAAAATTGGAAAACAGTCAAAACGATTCGAATGATTCGAATGGTTAACCGGCCGGTTCAGTGATTTGTTGACCAAAATCAACGGTTTTGGAGGAAAACGGAACCGATCACTTGACCGGTTCCTGGTTTTTCCGATCTGGTCCGATTTTGAAAACAGTGCTTTCGGCGGTTAGATCTTTTCCCAAACAAACAGGAAAATACGAAAATGCAGGCTACCGAGCTTCTAAAAAATTGAAGCCCATGCAAAAAGACATGCCAAACAGGGCTCTAATTTTCTTGCTACTTAGGTTGTGGCTTACCACTTGGAGATAGGTCAATCAGTTTGGCTGTTCTGGTGTTTTGGGCCTGGCCTTTGTCGGCCCATCCAGATTCCTTGGGTTCGCTCTCTTGGGTTTGGGTTGCTCCTAATTGAGCATTCTTTTTGAAAAAGTACGGATATGCCCAATGCAGATTTCTGATTTCCAATGCAGAGCTATAAACATTCAAATTGTCAAAAACTCACACTCTATACACCAACGCCCACCCGTGAATTGGCATCAATTCCGAGCTGACAATCACCCCCACTGTACTTTGGGCCTAAAAATTCTGACCCTGCGCTGAACCGTCATTCTCCCCCTTCTTTTTGTATTTTTTTTCCTTTGCCTTTTCTTTTTATTTCCAATCAAATGTATTTTACTTAAAAAAACATTTACTGTACCCAATTCAACAGTTTGTTCTTTTTTTTTCCTTATGGACAAGATTTTGAAAACCGGATCGGAAACAGAACTTTTTTAACCACTGATTCGTAGGTTAAACGRTCTTACTGTCTGATCCAAACCCGGGTCCTGTGATAAACTGGTCTAACTGTCCGATCCGATCTGATTTTTAACCGTGTTTGTGGGAGGGCGGGGGGATTTGGTTTCAGACTTTTCAGGGTGGTCCATCCTTAGTTGCAATCCTAGTTTGAAGATTACATTAGCTCCAAGCCTCCTCCTTGAAATGTTATCTCACCAACTACTAGAGGTACAAGTCACTAGTCATCCTGAATGTAACTTTAACTGATAAAGAAAGGATTTTTCTACTTGCTAATTTCACTAGTCGTCCAAGCCCCGAGCCCTTATGTTTTGATTAAAAACAATCTGTTTTATCTCCTAATGATATTACATTTATCTCTTGCCGGCTAAATTGTTAAATATGTTGATTATGCCTCTGAAATCAGTTGTATTAATTAGTAACCAAATTGTTATATTAATGTTCTTGTTGTTTGCAGGTGAAAGTGGTAAGCAACTCTTGACAGGTAGTCGTCCTTCCTAGCCTTCAAAACTTAATTAAATCAGTTAATTCAATAGTCATGTAATGTTACTTCAAATCAAATTTATTAAATGTCTGCATGTAGGCTTGCGTGGGCCCAATCTGAGCTTAAACCAGTCCGAGCCTGGCCAATATATATATATATATATATATAGAGTGGGTTCATTGACCAACATGGGCCCAAATTCATCAAATTACAATGCTGTCTGAGATTGAGTTGGAAAAATTAAGCTTGACCTCGGGCTCGGGCCTTAAGCCCAAATTTTAGGGCCAGGCTCRGGTTGACCATAAACCCGRCCCAACCCATCTGACTTGCACCCTTAACTGCAAGTGAAGCAGGAGGGAGTTTTACAAATGAATGTTTTTTATTTACTATTTGTTTTTGAAATTGTTGCTTTTCAAAACTAAAAGTAAATTGGCTTTGTTTCAAAACACAATACGGGAAAATCAATGATGCAAAAAGACATGGTACTGAAAGAGTTTTGACCAATGAAAACCCACTCATGAATTTTGACAAATAACACCATGTTCCTTACCATGTTTATGATTCTAGTTTATTAGTCGGTTRTTTTTCAGATATCATATCTTTTCCATATCATAGTCGAACCCACACAATACACATATATTTTCAAAACCATCATAATAATATATTTTAAAATAAAAACAAACTTTGAAGTGTAGAAATTATATGATTTATGGAACATGATATTAAATAACCATTTAAAAAATATGTTCTTTAAAACAGAAAATTCTGTTCTTTTATTGGTAAATCTTTAAATGGGGAATTCAAGGAACGTGTTAATGTTATTATTGTTTATGGGTAAATAAATTAATATAATAATCATAATAACAATAATAATAATAATAATAATAATAATAATAGGGTACTTCAACTTCCTACCTTTATAACCTAATTAACAAATTATATTAAGTTTTCATTAATTAGATAGAAAGAAAAAATATAAAGCTTTGTAATGTCATATAACTTGAAAATTATGCCTCTGCATTGGGTGACAATAATAATAACTTAATAAGTAATTAACTGTAATTGTTATTATTATTCATTTGTATTATTAGTTAATAATTCAATAGTGTAACACAACATTTATTAATGTCCACAGGTCTAACCATAGGACTAATTCTGGTTGAGATAGCAATATTAACATCCATAACAATCTACTTTGTCTACAATTCAAAATTAGACAAAGAGGATCAAGCTAGGATCGAGAAGTTCTTAGAGGACTACCAAGCTCTTAGGCCTACAAGGTATTCATATGCTGACATTAAGAGGATCACAAATCAATTTAAGGAGAAATTGGGCCAAGGAGGTTATGGTAGTGTGTTCAAAGGGAAGCTTTCCAATGAAATTCTTGTCGCTGTTAAGGTCCTCAATTACTCCAAGGGGAATGGAGAAGAGTTCATTAATGAAGTGAGCACAATTGGTAGGATTCACCATGTCAATGTGGTTCGCCTAGTTGGTTTTTGTGCAGATGGGTTCAGACGAGCTCTTGTTTATGAGTTCCTCCCGAATGAGTCCTTAGAGAAATTTATCTTCTCAAAGGATGCTAATAACCCCTCCCTTGATTCGGAAAAACTTATGGATATTGCAATGGGTATAGCCAAAGGGATAGAATATCTCCATCAGGGTTGTGATCAACGTATCCTGCACTTTGACATCAAGCCCCATAATATCTTGCTAGATCATAACTTCAACCCAAAGATCTCTGATTTCGGTCTGGCAAAGTTATGCTCCAAGGATAAAAGTATTGTATCCATGACTGCTGCCAGAGGGACCATGGGATATATTGCACCGGAAGTGTTCTCTAGAAACTTTGGAAATGTGTCCTATAAATCAGATGTTTACAGTTTTGGAATGCTGTTGCTTGAAATGGTTGGGGGAAGAAAGAATATTGATACAACAGTAGAGAAAAGTAGCCAGGCTTACTTCCCTGAATGGATATATAATCATCTCATCAGCCAAGGGGAAGAGTTGAAAATTCGGATTGCTGAAGATGGAGATGGTAAGATAGAAAGAAGACTAACGATTGTAGCGCTTTGGTGCATTCAATGGTACCCAGTGGATCGCCCTTCAATGAAAGCTGTGGTTCAAATGTTGGAAGGAGATGCAGAAAACTTAATCATGCCACCCAATCCATTTGCCTCAACCACTAAAACAAATACTAGTGGAGTTAACCCTAAGAAGCCTTTCCACACGGGATTAACAATCATTGAAGAATGATGATGAGAAAGATGGGTTGCTTAACCTTTACTTTATGTACTTTATTAATCATATTTAATTCTAGTTAGAAAAAAAAAAGGAGTTTAATTTGCGACATCTTCTTATCTAGCTATTTAAAGTTAATTTGTATCATCTAAGTTAGTGTAACAGACATTTGTAATGAACATGGAGTTGGATGGTTTATGTCCATCAGACTTTGTATATTTATATTCATAGTGTTTTGCTTTTACATGCAATAGGAAATTACAAYGAGGAGATTGCAGAGATAAGAAATTTTCTATTAGCCGGTGGTTTATATCCGGTGGTCGCGTGCAATAACAGCAAATCCCAGCAACATCGATCAACAAATTTTCCCACTCACGTTCTGAATAGGGGCCAGCGGTCAAATTTTAAGAGACCATATAACGTAACCGCATGAYGAGTCCCAGCCGCRCGCTCGGTCTCAAGACCTAGATCGGATGATTGGGCCAGGCTCAGGCTCGGGCCTCAGTATAATCTATTAATACTGACACAAAGCCCAACCTGATCCAACCCATGAACAAGTCTACTGGCATCATTTCAAATTTTGAGGTTTTCTGTACTTAAACTCCTAATATGACCATAAGGGTTTTGGGTGTAGGCTCAATTAGGGTTCAACATCTGAGTTTAGTATTAATAGTATTAATAAAAATATCAACTATTATTTAGTATTAATAAAATAAAAATATTAGCTACAAATAATTACTAATTACTAATGAAGTAGCTATTTCTTAGTGTAAGTAAACCAAATAACCAATTAATTAGATCATTTAGTTAAAAAGCGATTATTAATATTCAATAAATAATAATTAAATAACTAATTTATTAATATTAATCAATAAACTATTTAATTAGGAGTTAAGTCAAGCTAAGTCAAGCTTAACTTCAACATGCACTGGCTCGGTCCAACTGAAGTACTCATGGGTTTTAGTTTGAGTTCGAGTTTGATTCAAACTATATTTTTTTATTTGAGTTTTATTTGATTAAATATTCGATGAGCTTAAGTTTGACAAGAATATATTTTTATATATAGTATATACTATATATACAAATATATATTTTATTCTCTAAAATATTATATATTATAATTATAATTAATTATAAAATAAATAAATTTATTTAAATATTCAAATTTTAATTAAATACAAGAATATAATTGATTATTTGAAAATATTAACTACATTAATAAAATTAAAATGAAACACTAATAATTAAACTTTTCACTTAATAAAAACAATTTAAAATATTCATTTATATAAATATTTTTACAATTATAATCATATATACAGTAAAGCAATTTTGGAGAAAGAGATAGACACACCAAAATATAAACTAAATGTCATTGAAAGTTAAGGTTTTTACTACGTTTATAACAAACGTCATCAAAATTTTTGGCACGAAATGTTGGTGATGGCGGGAAGGACTTTTAATGACATTTACAGAAAATGTCTCCAAAACATAAATTAAATGTCACAAAAAAGGTGGCCTTTCAATGCCGTTGYCAAACACCTTTTTTTGCGACAAATGTTGTTAATGTCACGAAAAAGAGAACTTCAACAACATTTTATTTAAACGTCGCAAAAGAAGCATCGCGAAACGATGGTTTTTTTTGTAGTAGATGTAAGGCACAAATACTGGGCCTGGGTCCCTAACAAAGGCCATAAAGAGCCTTCTGAAGCTTATATACTTGATTTGGCATGGAGGGATCTTCGAAGCCTTTGGGATGGCATACCATTGAGAAATGAATATTGAAATCAATCCAATGATGATTTGGCATGGAGGAATCTTCGAAGCCTTTGGGCTGGCATACAAAAAATATCCTCCTAAATCACACCACTGAAATGAATTATTGAAATCAATCTAATGAATGAACCAGCCTTTAGATATAAACAAGGAAAGGGTGGTACATATGGTTACCAGTTTTACCATTGCACTAAAAAGTGTCTATGAAATCAACTCTAGCAACATGAGTGAAGCATTGGGCAACAAGACACATCTTATTATAATCAAAAAAGCCACCCGCCTTCCTATTGATCTTATAAAGCCATTTGTTTCCAATAACATGCATATTCTTAGCATAAGATACTAGGCTCTAAGTGCTTTGACAGTCACAGTGTTTGAAATTGTAACTATTCAAATAGCCTTTTTTTGAACCAAACATCTTTCTCTGCTCCATAATTCTTTCGAAATTATTTAAGGAGCGTGTGTCAAGCATTTGCACACACAAGTTTTCGATCACTCATGTCTTCTCTCAATATGATCTGCTACTATCTCACAAAAGGTTTCTTCAGAGACTGAGTGGGGGAAAATAATATTAAGAAGGCAGTGTCTTCAAACCCGCCTCATAGCTTCTCCTCCAAATTTCAGTGACTCCATTTTTCCAACAAGTTTAGAATGTTATTCTGTAATGGGAGGTAGAAGTAAGCATGACTTCGATCAAGATTTCAACTTGACCAGTTCGATGGAGAAAATTTCAATCGATGGCAAGACAAGATGATCTTCTTTTTGACCATATTGAAATTATACTATCTCCTAGATCCGAATCTACAACCACTTCCTGAACCCACTAAAAAAACTTGAAAAGCTAAAGAAGAAAAGAAAAAATGAGAAGATGATTCACTTCTGTGCCGAAGACATATACTGAACACTTTATCAGACCAKCTCTACAACTATTACAAGGAACTTACATCTCCAAAAGAAATCTAGAAGGCTTTGGAATTCAAATACAAGGTGCAAGAAGTAGGTATGAATAAGTATCTTATCATAGAATACTTTGACTTCACCATGAACGACCATAAGCCCATATTGGAACAAGTTCACGAACTATAGGTGATGGTCAATAAAATTTGATCATTTGATATCATCCTTCTTGAATCTATTCAAGTGGGAGCAATTTGCCAAACTTCCACTTTCTTGGAAGGATTACAGGAAGAAACTTCTACACAAGGCTAAAGAACTTACCTTGGAACAAATTCAGCAACACTTTCGTATTGAAGAAAAGTCTTAGACACTACTGAAAAATTCATCTATAGAGGCGGCCATAACTGCCTCTAAAAGAGTAAAAAATGCCTCTAAAGGTTATGGGAGGTGGCCAAGTAAGTGCCTCTAAAAGCCTTATCGCTAAATGTTTTAGAGGCGCTTGGTTGAGCATTAGAGGCGGATTTATTGCACATAATCCACCTCTAAATTAGACTTTTAGAGGCACATACGACTGCCTCTATTGCACTAATGCTAAAAGTCCTATAGAGAGGCAGTTAAAAGTGCTTCTAAAAGTTCAATTTAAAGGCACATTTGAATGCCTCTAAAGGATTTTGCGGCAATTTTATGTGCCTCTAAAAGAAATCTAAGAAAAGGAAAAATTTGTATGCTTTAATATTTAGAGGCACTTTTGGCCACTTCTAAAAATGTTCCAATTTTTTCAAAAAAAGTGCAATATATTGTGAATATTGCTACATAAAAATTCCAATTGATACCCTACATGAAAATTTATTCAATCAAAGCATAAAACCTGTATGAAAATATATATAAAATCCAAAAAGATACACATTATCAATAAAATTCCAATTGACTTCCATAATCATTTTAAGAACAAAAAAAACACAACATTCAGCCCTTTGTCCCCTTTTCTACTATTTTCTCCTTCAAAATCCTAGCATCTTGTGCCCTAGTCTTTTATTTTCTTCTTTTTTCTTTTGGGTTGGGAATGGGTGTAATTTTAGTCCTGCATTACATTTCCCCTCGTGTATATGTAGAATGATCTAGTATAAGTAACTTATTGCATAATTCACTAAAACATAAAAAAGAAAATATTTTCTCATCAACATTAGTCTTGTTTCAATGTGTCCAATCATCCCTAGGTGCCCATTAGGGATGTCAATGGTATTTGATTGTCCAAGTCCAAATCCAAAATCTGATCTGATTAAGCCAGATTAAGTCAAATCTCAAATATAAGATCCTTTTTCTCTGAAAAAGGTAAGGTATTATTTATTGAAAAAAGTATACAAGGTGTATACAAAGAGAGGCTCGAGGCCTCAAACCAAAAGAGACCAAAACCAAAACTCCATAAAAGGGTCTAAACCAACTCCAACATAGAATAGGACTAGGCACTAAAACAACCACCCAGACTAAGAGAATGAACGGCCAAAACCAGAACTAGAGTACAAAACTCCTCAAGATAACATCAAGCACACTGAAGCCCAGTAAGTGAGTAGCCAAAAGCTCAATAGTATACACTGAAAACATTTCAGCCAAAAAATGACTAGCCAGTAGTCGCTAATCTTCCTCTACCTCTTCTAACCCTACGTCTAGTACTACAAGATCCTCTGCCACTGGGCTTCACCACCACCTCGTCATAGAAGTCCTAAATCTTTTTGGCACTTCTACAACCTGAACCCGGTAGATAGTATAAGCTATTAGAGGATTGATCTGATGAAACATCACCCATGTCCAATTATAAGATCCATTTATAATTGAATCAGAATTGGGTCCAGCCCAATCCCATCAAGACCCAAATCTGATAATATCATTGTGTATAAACATATATCTAATAAAGTTGATAATGTTCACTAGCAAGTCAGATTTAGTAGGTGTATGTTTTATTGAGCATTTGAGTGTGTTAGGAAGTTTTCTGGAAGTTAAAATTTAAGTCATTTTACTAAGGATAATGACATCATAGTCAAATTTTAGTTCATATTRTTAAGAATGCATGATGTTCTAGACATTCTTTACTTTAACAAATTTTCTCTCCATCTAGCTTGACAAATGAAAAGGTTATTTTCTGACAGTTCAAGGAAAGTA